AAATTACTTTTTATCGAGTGCTTCGTATGCTGTAGGCATACTCGATGTACTCATGGACGCTCTCTTAATGTATTTATAATAGTGAACGACTGCAACAGAAAAATGTTTAAAGTTCTCACTTGATCATGTCTTGAATTCTGTGAAACAAACAATTGGGTGTATCATTTAAAATTATTTGACAATTGAGACATGTAAGTGCAGAATAATTTGGTGGCAAAATTCCAAGATATAAATTATGTTTTAATCGATCGATTATCAGGTTTAAACAACGTTTGATTTGTCCGTGTGTTATGTCGGATTTTTCCTTCTTCAACAGTTTATAGTAACAATTGATCACGAATTTTTTTTGAATAATATGATTTAATAAATCAAAGAATTGAATAAAATTAGGACCGGTAGTATCGATTAATTTAATTGGATTTTCAATTACATTGGCGAAAGAAGTAACATCTTTTTGGGTTAAAGATAAATTTCTGTCGGTAATTAAATACAATACTCCAGTTATCACATATGAGAACCAGATATCATCTAAATAGACAAGGAACTTGAATTTTCCTCAAACAATCAATAGAATCATATGAACAGATAGTTTGAGATATGAACTCACATTTGATCATGAAAACTAATTAGTTTGATAACACAAAGCATTGATGAAGACAGAAATGAAAGTCCTAGGTTTTTTTCGAATAAATCTAACTTGTCTAGTACTGGCATAGATAGAACTAATCGGTTCATCTTGTAACTTACTTGAATCGACTACTTGAGTCAATTTGAGCATAACATTATTTGTGATCAATAATTGCATCAAGCGATAAAATGCTTTAAAGCGTCTAGAAGTTGGTGATTCTGATAAATGTGGCCAATATATATTCAATAGATAATATAAAATAATAAAACTAAATTGTTTTATTAATAATGGAATTTGTGTTTCTGTTCGGAAGAGGAACAGATCTGTTTCTTTGACATCTTTTAGCATAGGTAATTTATTTAATATAACATCGATTAATTTTTTAATTTCTTCTTTTTTCTTCGGTGTTCTATCATCGAAATATTTGACGAGTTGATTGAGAACTTGGTTTACATCTAAATTAGCAGATAAATCATGGAATAAAGAACAAATTATCAAGCTAAACATTTGATGATATCAATCAAACACAATTAATTAGAGATTTCAACATTCATAGTCTATCAAAGTAAGCAATGAATATACCTTCAATCGAAACTGGTGTATTTTCGTCAATGATCAATGGGAAAGATGTTGTCTTATCAGATGATTGTTGCGTTTCATATTCAGTAGTCGAAATAAGCTTTCTTTTTCTAAGATTGTATCCAGAAATGAGTTCTCGATTATCCAATGATTCGATACGTTCTCGAAAATTGTTCTCTTGATTAAACTTCGACATGGATCACGGTCATCTATAAATATCACTTGAAATTACAAACAGATTTTCTTTCCACAAATATATTATTGTAATGACTTGTTCTATTGATAATTGATAACTCGAAATAGAATTGTAAATAAATATTTGCTACAATATAGATAAGTTCTACATACAAAAGAACAAGTGAAAATCATGTTACCTTTGAAATATTTTCAAAAATCAATTGATCTTTTTTTGTCTTCCTAGTTTAAGTTCAAAACATATTTATTGCTATTTGATTAACAGAAATGATGGTAATAGCAAAACAAAAAAAGAGATAAACAAGAATATTTAATGGATAATTTGAATAACCAATCAGAAAGAAAAGATAGAGTGTGCAAAATATAACAGTATGTAGTTGATGTTATTGCGCATAGCATCCGATCTTGTTTGCAGCAGGTTCTGCAGATGACGGTACTGTCCCTAGCCAAAATTTTTTTTCATGTTCTTGACCTGCGCAGACTTCAAGTTTTGTCCATAGCGCATGACTTTCTTGCTCAAGACAAGCGCTTGAGTGTTTGCATGAGTCACAAGAAACTCATGCACTCAACTCAAGAAAATGCAACTATGAATTTTTATTCAAAGTTGAGTTATTTTTGAACGTAAAATTTAAAAAAAAAGTAAAAAAGCTTGTTAGAGCAGCCCCTTTGGGGCTAAAATGTGGAACTTACGTATGTTCTTCAGCTTTATTATAGTAATATCAAATATTGAAAGTATAAAATCAAGAATTTCTAGGTTTTTTATTTTCTGACAGGCGCCCTTATTTTTCGTTTTCATTGTTACTATTCGTTCAGTATGTTTCATTTTTCGCAATTTTTTTTTGTCTTAATTTTATATTTTTTTTTACTATAATCATTGAATTAATTGGCAAACATGTCTATTTTACATATCGATCATATCTGCAGAAGATCTTATGCACTATTATATATATTAATCAACTCACAAATAATGATGTTGATTATCTTTCAAAATTATAACTTGATCGATTTTGCAAAAAACTATAGAAACTTTGACGCCTGTTATTCTCGATTGGTAAGGTCTGTAATGAGGAGGGGGTGTCTGTAATGGGGGGGGGGGGGGGGGGGGGGGGGGGGGGGGGGGG